AAACCTCTCCATACCTCATACTCATGATGATAATGATATTTTCCTACTTCAGGGAGGTGTAATGTTTCTGTGATCACAAAATGCACTGAAACTATAGTGGAGAGTACCATAGAAATACAGTATATATAACTAACAGATTTAATTTCTTTTCACGATAAATATAATTTACAGGATCTGTTTTTCATTCATGTGAATATGTATAATTCTGTGATATATAGTACGTAATGAAAAGTAAATATAATAAGAGTAATAATAGAAAGTGATCTTTTAAGATCTTACAAGATAAATAAACTGTCTTTTACCTTATTTAGTTTCCAAGTCATCACATTTTATCTTTTCTATTTGTCTTTATGACTAGTATTTCTTTGACGGAGAAATCAAAGTTTCCTGTACTGTCATTTATTACCAGTCAAGAAGCTTTCAAGACAGTCTGAATGTTTACTATGCTTTGACTTAGATTTTACAGAGTTTGTGTGTGTGTGTGTGTGTGTTTGTGTCAGTGTCTTGCTATCATATTCACTCTTCGAGACCATCTAATTTAGGAACTTACATGATTCCCATTACAATAATATCTAAGCCTCAGATCCTCCAAGATATTTAGTTGCTTAACTCCCAGTGATATTAAAGGCAGTTAGACTCCTAAATATCTTGGAGGATCTGGGCTTTACTGACTCTCTATTTTTAATGTATGTATCCTCGTATCACTCCTGTATGGTGGGAAAACTATAATATTCCCATTTTACAGATGGTAACTGAGGAACAGAATAGCTAAGTGATTTTCCAAGATAACAAAAGAAGTCTGTGGCAGAGCAGGAATCAGGTCTCCCAAGTAAGAGCTAATGCTCTAACAATTGGATCATTCTTCCTATCCCATTCAGACACCAAGCATTCATCATCCTCTGTAGATCCAAGCCACTTTGTTATTTCATTATAGAACATAACAGGACATGAAATATGGAACTTACTAAATACAGAAAATATTAGTTGCAATATAGACATGGAAATTTAAAATGTTGTTCATATTAAGTAACTTCAGCTGCATGCATTTAGGTTTTCAATAATATGAAAGATGGATTTCAATGCAAATGGCTTACAAATGACCTATTCAAGCTAGAATGATTCTAATTGCCAAAGCCTTTTTTTCACTCTATCGTTCAGATCTGGGTTGTGGACAGCCAAAATGGAATGGAAATTTTATGTAAATAAATGTGGTGGAAACTTCCTGTAATTATGTTTCTCCACCCACTGCCTGATTTACCTGCCAGTTCCATAAGAAAAAACTGTGTGTAGCGTGTGTGTTTTATTTTAATCCACTTTTGCATTTGATTTAATACAGTTCCCAGTTGCTAGTCAGATGACCATCCCCTTTTGGCAACATTCACTATTTTACTTGATGATAGGAAGAGGTGTTAATATATAGCTCTTGATCTTCAGCTTCAATGGAATTATAGTGATTTATTCCAATTGAGCATCTGGCTCATGGATTTCACATAGCACATTTTGCACTGGATGGAAATACAATATACCCCAAGAGGGATTTTTCCATCACAAAGAGAGGTAGGAAGCCTAAAAGACAATATTTATTAAACATGAATACACACACATATGGGCCAGAATATAATCAAATATTCTCTGCATCAGAACATTTCAAAACAGGCAGAGGAATAGTAGATTCTGAGAGTCACTAGTTTCCAGCTGGATGTGGTGACCTTAATAATAAAACCTGATTTTGAAAATCTGTAAAACTAAAGCAACCTGCACGGGTTAAAAATAGCTGGAAAGTTTGGGACAAATTAGGTAAAGCACCAGGTAAATACTGGGCAGGAGGTTCATAAGAACTATTCTGATTGTTCTCATTCTCTGAAAAATTTTGTATTTGGCTAGTATAAGTCACAAATGGCTTGGTATAGGAACCTTACATGTTTTAGGACTGATTCTTGTGACTAGTTTTTGGGGGAGTTAGATTTGTTCATGGAATTAGTTATCTGTAGTGGTTTCCATATGTATTACAAACTTTAAAGAGATTATCAGTAATGCTGGGTGGTAAGCGGGGGAGGGGGCAAGAATAGACACCGATGAAAGGAGGACAAAGAGGAAGAGTGAGAGGGTAAAAGGGTCAAATCAGGGAAGAAAAGGGATCTATTAACTTGACTAGTCTAGAAGTCATATCACTCATACATTCACTTTATATACCCTATACTTTTATACAACTCTTCCTATTGTGGGGGAGTGCTTTAGCTAGTTCATTTATAGCTAATTCAGTAAAAGGTGTCAACTTTTTCTTTTTAATCAGGATGGGACAATTATTCTCTGACTCAAGTCTAGAATTCAAGTCTAGAATATTTTTAAACCCTACTGAAATCATCACAAATAAATTGCAATATGTGTTACTTGGAAAATAAATTCTTTCATCAGTACGTAAACAGAACATAAGACCTATTTAATGTATGCATGTCTTCCTACCAAGCACAGATCACTACTCAAATATTAATAAAACATGATTACTGACTGTAGTCTACGACATGTATTAAAAGAAGAAAATTGATGATAATACCAGTGTATCTATAAAACATGAAGACAACATGTAGAAATGCAGCACCACCAAAACAAATAAACTTGCTCAGATGTTCTGCAACACATTGGTTCTTACATCTTCCCTGGCTGTCAGAGACAAAAATCCTGCAGTTCTTCTCTAGATCTCATTCATTTTTAAACATTTCAAAAGTAAGCCAAATCTTTTCTTGAGTATCTGCACTTTCATTTTTAACATTAAGTACAAAGCTTCCCCCCTGAAACTACATAACTGACTAATGAATATTCTTTTTCACAAATTATGTGAGTGCATGTCATTATATTGCTTTCATTTCCCCTTTTTTGATAGATGTAGCTTCAAATAACACTGTACACTAAATTTGCCAGTAAGATATATTTTTGCAGTGGAAACACCATTCCAAAGTGATTGAGAGAATACCAGAGAGATGAAAGATTATGTACTACTCAAGTTCATACATCATATATTGAAAAAATAATTGGCAACCTTATTTTGGAGTAAATTAACTACAGCACACCTCTATCTCTGCTATCCTTCATGACAGTGAAACACAGTATATTGATATTTACTGTTAGCATAATCACTAGAGAATAATTGCCTCCTTTTAGTCACTAAATAAATCAATTTTACGTACAAGACAAAAATATGAAAAGAAACCAGATATTGTGTTTAAAGAAAACATGATTCATTGTCTGAATTTCTCTCAGATCAACACATGGTATGATTTCCTGATATATATCTGTCCAATTTAATAGGTTTAAATACAGATAATCAGGTTTATTGGTAGCTTCTCATATTTTGGGTGGAAACTGTGCAAGTCAGAGGTTCATTAGCAGGTAAGAAAACAAATTTCCAGTACAAGCAGAAATGTTTCCACAATCTCATATTGAGCCATAGTATAAACACATGGATTAATTTCCAGATGCAATATACACGATATTGAACTCTGCATAGAAGCAAATAGAACCTGCAACAGATATTCCTGCATAACAATCTTTCTTTAGGTGTTTTGTTTCCTACCCCAAATACATTGCAACTAACTTATTTTTCTGGTGTCTCTGAGACGTGTAAGAATCTATTTCACCATCAGCCTGCAGGAAAAAACCTAAGCTTTACCCGGCTTTTAAGAAGTGTTTCACTGGAAATGACATGCATTGTTCTTCATTCTTAAGACCCATGATACAGCAATTATGTCTACACTGCCCATTTTGCGCAAAAAATATGCAAATGAAGCAAAGTGTGGAATACGGCCACACCTCATTTGCATAATTAATGAGGCTCCATTTTTGCACAAGTGGTCTTTTTGCAAAAAGGAGCTATTTACATGGCTTTTTTTGTGCAAAAACACGCTCTTGCACAAGAGCAGTTCTTCCTGAAAAAAATGCAAAAGAATGGCTCTTGCGCAAGAGGGGGTTCTTGCACAAAATGGAGCCTCATTAATTATGCAAATGAGGTGTGGCCGTATTCCACACTTTGCTTCAGGCAGTGTAGAGATAGCTCCAATGAATGGACCGCCCAATATTTTCAAATAATTATATAAGTCAATTCAAAATGATTTTCTGTTGGATAGGGCTAATGGCATATTCTTTCAAAATTAGACAGGTCCTTTTGACATTGAGGTTTGGAGAGGAAGGAGGAGTTGAAAAAATGTTGGAGTAACTCTTATGCAGAGAGGTTGTTTTCTGTAATACAGTACATTGCTATTATAGTATGTACAGGTTCAAACTATGATGTAACTTTTGTAAGAATGTTGAAGATTTTAATGCAAATTATATTAAAAGCATATTTTCTCTTGTCACCAATATTATGTTTCAGATGATATAGCCATTACAGGATTATTTTAAAAATAGAACTAGAGCTAGATTGATATGGAATACATGCAGTGAAATCCTGGCCTTACTGAAATCAGTGAATGTGTGCCATTAACTTCAATGGAGACAGGATTTCACTGCTGGTATTCACAGGTGTGCACAATCTGATCAATCTGCTGGATGATTGTGCAGGTGGGCCTGATGGAGAGAAGAAATGGTTCTGTTTTGCCATAGCAACATTGGACATTAGATAAGTGTTGAATTCAAAAGGTATCATTCCACAAACAAATATAGTGGGCTTCAACATGTTATTTTCTGCCATAAATAATGCCCAAGTTATCTATCCTACCAAAACACTGAATATCCTCTCCATTTCCCATTCAGAAACCTGAGTTCTCCACATGTCTCTAAAACAGGCCCAAACCCAAACCTCATTCAGAACACTTTCAATACTAACTGGAACTTAGACTATTTAGATACATCATCTAGGCAAGAATAAACGATGATCATAAAATCTTTTTTCTATGTCTAAGTAGTTGCAATGCACATCACAAATGATCTTTAAATAAAAGGAAGGCAATGTCTTTTTTTTTTTTTTTTAACAATACCAGACAAAGATATTAGGAGCCTGTAATTACCTGTAACGGTTAATTCTGTAGTTCTTCTGACAACAAAGAGTCCATATTTTAACTCACAAGTGTAATTTCCAATGTCATCTTCTCTAACCTCCCGGATGATGAGAGTGTCCCTTTTGAACACAATACTCGGTCTCCATGTTTTTACCTTGCATTCCTGTTCAAAGACAATATAATACACCCATGACTTGAATTTAAATTTGGTGAATATTGACTACATTGCCGAAGTTAAAGAACCTAGGAAAGGCTTAGATTACTTATGATATTTCATATACACTATGTGTCCCCAAAATTCTACTTCATTGAGTACCATGAAAGCTGTCTGAATGCAAGAATGGCAGAGAATGTACTCCTTATAACGATGGTGCAGTAAAGGAATATCTTTACTATCTTAATTAATATTGTCTCTGGGACTATTACATATACAGAAAACTTATCTTCATTATATTAATGACAGCTAGAGGGCATGGGAAGTCAGTGTAAAGCAATAATTAATCAAAAAGAAGGGAAGCAGCAGTGAATGAGGAAAAAAGGAAGAAGCAAGTTACATTTCCATTTCTGAAAACACCTTAGAATTTGATTTGAAAGTTTTCACTTATCAATGAGCTTACTATGGACTCAATGGGGTAGTACAAATTAGACATTGCATTATTTATATATGTAAAATATAACTTGTCTCAATTTAATTACTACTGATAAAATTGTGTATGTTTTATTAATGCTGAAACACGTTCTTATTTTAATTGTTTAACAAGCAGGCCCATCCGCTAAGTTGAAATTTGTTAATGCCTCAGAGCATGTGTATGTGTTGCCAGTTTTTATTGGTTCTCCCTCATATTGTTTTTTCCTCCTTATTTTTTTTAAATTTCCTTGGTTGTATTTCAAATAATTAAAGTAGATCATGTAATTACTGCTGCTTTTGGCCATTTTTCAGGATTTTCCAAACATTGTCTTTCTAAGAAATACGTTACAAGTCAACAGAATAATGTCCTTGCGATTTTTGATACAACTGTACAAAATAAGCTGCTCACATTGACCAGAATAGCAGCTTTCTGTTCTTACAGAATATAGGCGAGTTTTGTAAAAGGTCATTCTGACTTTTCTTAAAAATAGAAATATGTCCTCACATCTGATAACCCACAATGACATTTTATGAATCCTGGCAACCTACCAACTAAAAGTAGTTTTTGACATAAAATCCTTAGATACTTATTCTATTATATATTTTAAATCATAGAATATTTCAGATGACACTATTAATAATTATTACCCTACATTTTCAAAGGCAGTGGCATGGTCAGGATCATTCTAGATCATAATTTTTCATAATCACTGGATAATACAGTCTAGGTATTCTATTTATAAAGGGGCTAAGTAAACCTGTATGCTTCAAGCTGAAATATGTTTCAGCTGGTAAATTACAGTTCATGATTCCTGTACACACATACACACACACACACTACTAATTTCAGGTTTACCTAAGAGATCAAAACTATTTTGGTTTATCCACTAGGACACTAGGCTTAAGAAACAGACTCTACAAGGTGCAAAGTGCTCATGCAAAATGCTGAGTACCCTCAATTCCAACTGCTGTCAATGGGAGCTTCATTTAACAAGTACATCACAGAACCAGAGCTTAAATATCTCTCCAGAAAAGCAAATTAGTGCACAGTGTTGAAAGAAAGTTATCAACAACTCATTGAGAAATATGGATATTTTAAGCGAAAATATCCCAGATTTTCTATCTGGGATATTGTTGTTTCACTTTTCCTCCCATAATTTTGTGAATGATGTGAATAATGGACAGATCTCAAGCCTTAAACAGCAATTATTACTCTTGGCTGAATTGTAGGATGTACTATTTAAATTGCATACTAAGGTAAAAATGTGCAGTTTCTTCTGCAAATAATGTTTTCTCTTCATATCGTTCAATGTAAATTTCACATTTGGAAATTAAGGATTATAATAGTGAAAGTCAGAATCTGATATGGGGCAGACAACTGCTGTGTCTGCTTCCCCACCCTGCCTTACCAATAAGCATCATACCAGATATCCCTGATCTCCCTGATAACGTGTTTTTTTTTTCTTTTCCAGTTTTGGACTTCCCAGTTGAAAGAGGACCACCAGTTATTTGATTGTTTTGTGATACAGCTAGGTGGGAAGAGGAAGATACCAAATAAGGAACTTTCAATTTTGCCTAAGAAAGCATTTGAATCCTTGTCTCTAGAGGTAAAAACTACATTAAACACTTTACCATCAAGTTCCTTTATTGTCCTATCGCTCTTTGTCTTGTTATTAATGTTTCTTAAATCCATCCAAACTGTATATCACGTCCAAATAAAATGTTGAGATAATTGAAAATGCAGCAGAACTTGACATCATATTTTGTTGAAGGCAACAGAAGTCTTCTGTACTCCTTACCTTATACCATAGGATTTCAGGCTCTTTATATGGACTTAAAAAATCCTCTGTGTCAGGGCATGAGATTTCCTTGCTTTTGCTAAGTTCAGCTTTTTCAAAGTACTTCATCTTTGAATGGTAGCAAAGTCCAGTGTCATTTTCACCCACTGTCAGCGAAATGGATACTTTCATACAGTAAGTAGAGTTTCTGTAATATAACACAAATAAAAATAATAGGCCCAGTGTGAAAAATAAATTCCAGTCACATAATTGTTTTGATGCAGTGATATTCATCCTAGGCAGAGAAGGTGTCTATGTGTGGGGGTGGTGGTGGTGGGGGGGGGGGGGGGAAATAAACTATTCTTGCTTTATATATTTTGTGGGAAGGGGCTCTTCTCTTTCCAATCCCAATCTCAACCACTAAATTTTAATGTAATAACAGTAATTGGCTTGAATCCATGATTGAACCCTTTCCTTTTCTCTACCTTCCCTTCCCTCCAGACTGTTCATTGTTGGGCAGCTTCCTCCTAAGAGAAGGCCAAGAAAAGCTCCATGCACTAACCAGCAAAAAACCTAAATCATCCTTTTGACAAACACAATCACAACAGCTCTCTGGGGTGAGCAAATCAGCTACTGCACAGCAGCCTAGTGTCAAATTGGGACTTTTGGCATCACACCATGAATTGGAGGGTTAGCCTCCTATTCATCACATTCAAGCAGGTTTTCAAGGGAAGCAATAATTCAAACTACAGTTTTAAACAACATTTGATTAAAAATCAGACTTGTGGCCTTTCACTCCATAGAAAACAGTTGAGTCTAAGTGTATTTTAAACTAGAGAGCTACTGGCTTGTTTACCTTAGTTTCTCATCCCCATATTCCCAGGCCTAAATGTTACCCCGGCAATATCCTCAGCTTTGGGCTCTGCAACTTATTACTTTCCTTTGGTGACCATATGTTGATATGCCAGACAGTCGGAGCCTGGGGAACATTGTTTTGCTTTCCTTATTTTGCTATGTACTATAATTAGTCTCAAAGACAAAATGACTCAAAAGGACTTATTTTTTCATTTTGGATTTCCAGACAGGCAGGATGGGAATATCTAAGGTTAAGAACTCTCTAGGAGTGCACTATGACAGTGCAACTATCTTCCCCTACTGTTCTGTAAATGCATTTGACCCTAATCTGCTGAAAGTGGCTCCTGTGGAGCACACTAAGACATTTTTCCTTATTTATTTTCACTCTCAGACTCTGTGAGATGACTGCTGATTTACAAGAGACAAGTGTACACCTAGCTTTGCAGGCTCTGAAAGATAGCTGCCTTTTCAAATTGTCTTTAGATATCTTAATATCTGCTTTCTCTTTTGGTTTACCAAGAGGTGATTAGAAGGTGACAAGAAAGAAACATGGCATACGAATCACACCACAGTCTCATAGCATAGTAATTCTGCCAGTGACTTCAAGTCAGAACAGGTAAGGGATCTTCCCTAGAATGGAGTCATCTTGAGTTCCCATTCTTGGCACTATCTGATACTTTCTATGAACACTTGTGATTAGAGTTAATACAACTACTGTATCCATCACAAACAATTTATTCTTTGAATATAGGGCATTCCAAAGTCACAAATTGTTCTAAGTTGTAACCTAAGTAGGCCCATATAGGTATTTCCCCCCCACCCCCGCTTTTTCATGACTGGAAATCCTACCCTTTCCCCCCTCCCCCCCCGCTTTTTCATGACTGGAAATCCTACCCTTTCTTGGAAAAAAAGAGCTAAAGCAATTCATTAGGAGCCTAGATTTTGTCATTGTCACAGTGGGAACATGCTACTGAGACAGGTAGAAGGAGATAAACAGGCATAAGGAATTAGATTAGAATATTTTAAATTTTCTTCTTTCCTCATGTCTACACAATGAAGAAAGAGGTGTTTCATAACCCCTCCCTGTCACCCCATTTGAAAATTCTTTCCTAAAAGAGTCAGAATGGGAAACCACTTAACCTGTAATTTTGCTTCTCTCAAGTTACCAAGTAGGCAGGAATCTCATTCTTGGCTTGCATCTCTGTGGAACACATTACTCAGGAGATTTTCCTGTCTAAGGATTTTGTTTAATGTCCAAGAATAGGCTAATCAACAGCCTTGTCCTGCAGAGCATATGCCAACATGAGGCACCAGAACATTACTGCTGCTTTCCTCTTGACTCTGGTCAGCAAAAGAAATGGGGCCTCTAACTTTTAACCTGTGCAGATGCCTGAGACAGTTAGGGCCTGAATGCTTTTTCTGGTCTCTGGTTGCAGTGGACTGGTTTGTTACAGATCACTCTTTCAGTACTTTCTCTGTCATTTCTTTCAACGTTTATTTTGTGGCATGTTTGAGGTTTCATCCCACACCCCCTCCCCCCCATGGCTTGTCATTTCATAAACTCCCAGCAGAAAGCAATATCAGCATTATCATGACAATTTAGAGATGATACAAGTTACTCAAGATAGTTAGCAATCTCACAAAAATGGATACCTGGGGAACAAAATGGCAAATGCAAACGGACTTTGGAAAACGTAATCCCAATAATACATATAAAATGATCGTTAGCAATCTCACAAAACTGGATACATGGGGAACAAAATGGCAAATGAAATTCCATGATGATAAATGCAAACGGACTTTGGAAAATGTAATCCCAATAATACATATAAAATGATGGAGTCTAAGTTAGCTGTTACCACTAACAGAAACAAAAGACAGGACCATGCAGCACTTTAAAGACTAACAAGATTATTTATTTTTAAAGTGCTTTAAAGTGCTGCATAGCCTTCCTGTCTTTTGTTTCAGCTGAACCAGACTATCGGGGCTGCATCTCTATCACTAACAGAAAGATTGTGGAGTCACTGTGGATAGTTCTCTGAAAACATCTGCTCAATGTGCAGTGGCAGTCAAAAAACTAACAGAATATTAGGACCCATTAAGAAAGAGAGAGATAAGACAATAAAAATCATAATGCTACTATATACATTCATGGTATGCTTGAATGTTGTGTGTAATTCTAGTCATCCATCTAAAAAAGATATAGTAGAGATGACAAAGATAAAGAGAAGGTCAACAAAATGATTAAGGGAAAGGAACAACTTTTGTATAAAGAAAGATTAAAAGAACTAGGATTGTTCAGTTTGGAAAAGAGATGAATATGAATAAGGGGGAATATGAAAGAGGTCTATAAAATTATGAATGCTATGGAGAAAGTTAACAGGGAAGTAGAAAAGAGATGAATATGAAAGAGGTCTATAAAGTTATGAATGCTATGGAGAAAGTTAACAGGGAAGTGTTATTTACCACTTCTCATAATAGAAGAAGCAAGAGTCACTCTGTGAAATTAATGGGTAGCAGCTTGAAAACAAACAGAATGAAATAATCTTTTGCACAATGTACAATAACCCTGAGACACTCATAGCTCGGGGATGTTGTGAATGCCAAAACTATCACTGAATTCAAACATAACTGGCTTCCTCCATCAATGACTGTTAGTCAAGATGGTCAGGAATGCAAATCCCATCATCTGAGCATCCTTTAAGCTCTGACTAAGCTTCTGCCAGATTCTGGGATTGGATGACAGGGATGGATCACTTTATAATTTCCCTATTCTGTTCCTTCCTCTTCAAGCATCTGGCAGTGACTACTATTGGAAGACACAGTATTGGGCTAATTGATTTGTACTGCTATGACCTTTCTAATGTTCTTATAGTTGTAATAATTTACTAATTCTTCTATTCTCTGGTTTTTTGGTTGAGTAGGGGGTTTTTTTCCTATTAAAAAAAACACACTTTGGAATCAATGATGTAGATATTGAGATAGAGATTTTTTTTCCTATTAAAAAAACCCCACACTTTGGAATTGGTATGGCCTTACCACTTTTCAGAGCATACTACACTGGTGGTTTCTTTTTGTAATATGTTGGAGAGGAAGCTTTTCTGTCTGTCTTGAGAAGAAAATGGCTGAGCTAGGATTCATGAGTGGGAGTTCTTGTGCCTTTTATGTCCATAGCTATCCAGAGGGCATAGTCCAGAATCAAATCTGAATTGCAATAATAAAATTGCAAATTGCCAAATATTTTGTGATATGAAACCTCCAACTTTCAGCCAACTCTAGTTTTTAATCCCTGATTTTTCCAAATAGAAGTTGTATTGGAAACACTCAAAGACCCTGAAAGATGCATCTAATTGGCATAAATTGGGATTGAGTTAAAATACTTCATGTTAGAACCCAAAGCTTCATGAATACCCATAGACTATTGCAGTATTTCATGCACGCTTTTTAAATAAAAAATCATCATGAAATGTAGAGGAGTGAGACCTTTAAGTGGAAGACAGTGAAGCTCAGGAATCAATTTGTGTTTATTGGATCAAGGCCGGCCTACCTCTGTCTTGTTGACATTTTAGTTTCCTTGTGTTTGTCTTACAGTTTTGAATATATGAAGCCATAATACTAACATCTTTAAGGCACTATAAAGAGACATACCTAGTACTATGACAGCAAAGCTATAATAATGACACACACTTGCTTTAGCAAGAAATTGAGACTGCAAACCAACAATAATAATAAATAAAACAAAGCACTTTGAGTCTCTTTATAAACACATCTGCTTTTTTTATTTCTGCCACAGCACAGTTGCCTATGTACTAAGCAGAAGAGAAAGGAACCAGGGAGATGTTACCTTCTGGAGAGATAAATTATGTCTCAGATTGTAGCATTTGATCTAACAAGTTATCAGTTAACAATATTGTGAAAAAAAAGTCAACTGACTGGTAGGCTATGAAGAATTGCTATGCAAATATTCAATGAAATCGTGGAAATCCAACACAAAGCAGCTTTTAGAGTAGTGCATTTTTAAAGTATTTATTAGGGAAATCTATGCAAATATTCAATGAAATAGTGGAAATCCAACACAAAGCAGCTTTTACCAAATAGACTTAACCGATGTTTTCACCTATGAGCTAAATGGGTATACCCCTAGTAAATGAAGAATAATATCCCCTGATTAAAAGAGAAGGAAATACACTGTGGGTAGTTTCATAAAATGATTCCTTTTTGTTTTGCTTTTAGTTGGTTATGTGCTGAACTCTGGCCCACTGAATAGCTCTGTGATCAGTTGGGCATTGTGCCAATACACACTTGCTTAAATTTAAAATTTTGCACTTATACCCTAGGCAACCTGCTCTGATT